AAATTAAGATACCTAGGAATAAACTTAACTAAGGACATAAAAGACCTGTACTCGGAAAAATACAAAACATTGAAAAAAGAGATAGAGGAATATATAAACAAATAGAAGAACATACCATGTTCATACATTGGCAGAACCAACATCATTAAAATGTTTTACCAAAAGCAATCTACAGATTCAATGCAACCACCATTAAAATACCAATGGCATATTTCAAAAATTTAGAACAAACTCTCCAAAAATTCATCTGGAATAAAAAAGAAACCCAAATAGCTACAGCAATCTTGAGAAAGAAGAACAAAGTTGGAGAGATCATCATACCAAATATTAAGCTATATTATAAAGCAATGGTTCTTAAAACTGCATGGCACTGGCACAAAAACAACATACAGATCAATGGAACAGAACAGAGAATCCAGAAATCAACCCAAGCCATTATGCTCAATTAATATTGGATAATGGAGTCAAGAGCATACAATGGAGTCCAGATAGTCTCTTCAATAAATGATGCAGGGAACATTGGTCAGATACTTGCAAAAAAACAAAACAAAACAAAACAAAACAAAAACCAGATCACCAACTTACACCATACACAAAACAAACTCAAAATGGCTAAAGGACTTAAATGTAAGATGGGAAACCATAAAAATCCTATAAGACTCCATAGGCAGCAAAATAGCAGTCATATGTTGTAACAATATCTTTATAGACACAGCTCCTAGGGCAATGGAGACTAAGGAGAAAATAAACAAATAAGACTACATCAAGATAAAAAGTTTCTGCACAACAAAGAAATCATCAACAAAACAACAAGAGAACATATTTGCATGGGAGAACATATTTGCCAATGATATTTCGAAAAAGGTTTAATCTCCAAAATGTGCAGAGAACTCATACAACTTAAGAAAAAGAAGATAAACAATCCAATAAAAAAAATGGGCAAAGGATCTAAATAGATACTTTTTGAAAGAGGACATACAGAAAGGCCAGAGACATAGGAAAACATGCTCAAAGTCATTAATCATCCAAGAGATGCAAATCAAATTAACAATGAGGTACCATCTCACACCTGTCAGAATGGTTATCATCAACAAATCAACAAACAACAAGTGCTGGTGAGGATGTGAAAAAAAAGGAATCCTCCTGCACTGCCAGTGGGAATGCAGACTGGTGCAGCCACTATGGAAGACAGTATGGAGTTACCTCAAAAAGTTAAAAATGGAACTCCCATTTGGCCCAGTAATCCCATTTCTAGGACTATAACTCAAGAAACCAGAAACACCAATAAGAAAGGATATATGCATTCCTATGTTCCTATCAGCACAATTTACAATAGCTAAGATTTGGAAACAGCCTAAGTGCCCATCAGCAGATGAGTGGATTAAAAACCTGTGGTACATGTACACAATGGAATACTATGCCGCTATAAAAAAAGAAGTAACTTTTACCATTTTCAACAGCATGGATGGAACTGGAGAGCTTTATGCTAAGTGAAATAAACCAGTCGGAGAAAGATATTAAATGATCTCACTCTTATGTGAGATATAATGATCAACATAATTTGATGAACAAGAATAAATCCAGAGACAAATAATAGGAGTGGGGAAGGGAGTTAGAGAGCAACCAAAGGACTTGTATGCATGCATATTAGCACCTCCAACAGACACAGCCAATGAGGTGATGGGGCTTGCCTGAGATGGAAATGGCTTGGGGCGGGGGGGGGGGGGTGAGTGGGCGGTCAATTGGGGAAAAAGAAGACAAATGTAAAACTTTAGACAATAAAAAACAAAAAACATGACAAATAAATATTAAAAGTGTAAAAAAAAGTGAAGGGATTAAGAAGTATAGATTGTTAGTTATAAAATAGTCATGGGAATGTAAATTACAGCATAGGAAATATAGTCAATAATATTGTAATAACTATGTGTGGTGGCAGGTAGCTACTGGAAATATCAGGAAGAACATTTTGTAAAGTGTATGACTGTCTAACTACTATACTGTACATCTGAAACTAATACAAAATAATACTGAATGTATATTGTAATTGAAAAAAATGTTAGAATGAAAAAAATATATAGTTTAAAAAATGATATAGCAAAAAAATGATATAGCAGAGGACTATGAAATGATATGAATAGATGCTAAATAATAAAAGAGTAATACATAAGATGGCTATCCCCGTGTGGACACAAGATGGCCACCACAAGATGGCTGTCAGGGGAGGGCAGTTGTGGGGGACCCAGGCCTGCAGGGGAGGGCAGTTGAGGGGGGAACCAGGAGGGCAGTAGGGGGGAAATAGGACTGCAGGGGAGGACAGTTAGGGGGGAAGAGTTGAGGGGAACCAGGCTTGCAGAGGAGAGCAGTTAGGGGGGACTAGGCCTGCAGGGGAGGGCAGTTGGGGGGGATTAGGCCTGCAGGGTAGAGCGGTTGAAGGGGACCAGGACAGCAGGTGAGGGCAGTTGTAGATAATCAGGTCAGCAGGGAGGGCAGTTAATGGTGACTGGGCCAGCAGAGGAGGGCAGTTGGGGGAGACCAGGCCAGCAGGGGAGGGCATTTGTTGGGGACCAGACCTGCAGGGGAGGGTAGTTAGGGATGACCAGGCCAGAAGGGGAGGGCATTTGGGGGCGACTAGGCTGGCAGGGGAGGGCAGTTAGGGGTAATTGGGCCGGCTGGGGAGCAGTTAGGCATTTATCAGGCTGGCAGTGGAGTGGTTAGGGGGTGATCAGGCTGTCAGGCAGAAGTGCTTAGGGGCAGTCAGGCATAGAGAGGCAAGTGATTGGGAGCCAGCAGTCCTGGATTGTGAGAGGGGTCCAAGATTGGAGAGGGTGCAGGCTGGGCTGAGGGACACCTACCCCTCGTACATGAATTCTGTGCACCAGGCCTCTAGTGTTTATGATATAATGAATAAAAAAAGGAAGGTTAAAACAAGAATATGATTTCTTGCACATGCACGCACACACACACACACACACACACACACACACACACACACAAATAGTATACATGCATAGAATTAAAGAATGAAAGAAGAGTAATACTGTGTAATGGAATTAGGTGTTGATTAGGTTTTAAAATATAGTTTTAAAAATTGATTTTTAGAGAGGGAAGCATCAATATGAGAGCAAAACATCCATTGGCTGCCTCCTGCATATCCCCTACCAGGGACTGAACCTACAAAACTGGCATGTGTCCTGACCGGGATCAAACTGAGGACCTCCTGGTGTCTGTGTTGTCACTCAACCACTGAGCACTCCGGCTGGGCAAGTAACATTTATTTGTATACAAAAGTACCAAAATATGGAAATAAAATGGACAGAATTATAGTTCAGAACAGATTAAGGTTAAAATGACCACCACCACCACCACCACCAACAACAACAAAACCACACACACACACACACACACACACACACACAAAACAAAGAAACAAACAACAAAAACAAAAAAGCTCCTTTAACCTTATTTCTTAGAGCTCATTAACGCACTTGAAGGCAGGGCCAGAACCAGTGATGATAGGTAGGAAATAAAACCTAAACAACTTCGTATGTCTATACAGTTTCAGGTCTGCTCCGTTTTTGGAACTCTTGGAGTGGTACTACCTTTTCTCATTAGTGAATTTTGTCTTTTTAAAAACTGTATCTTTATCAGGATTTTTAGGTGCTTGAAGTTTACATGGAAGGACAGTTACTGATCAGGTTCAAGTGCAAATAACTATCCGCCTTTTATCTCCCCTTTCTTTCTACTTCCCCAGGGCTAGGGAGTTTGGATCAGGGTGGTATTTATTAGGTAACCTGTGACACTGGCTTCTTCCATGGGGGCTGGCCACTTAGCTATAGGCTTCTCTAGAACTAAACATCCAGGAAAACACAAGTGGTGAAGAATCTAAAAAGAATGTTTGAAACACAAGTGGTGAAGAATCTAAAAAGAATGTCTAATAGCCTCTACTCCAATGTCCTCAGAGAAAGAAATAAAATCAGGAGGAAAGAAGAGAACTTTAAAAGATCAGATGACATAAAAGCCACTGCTTCTCAACTTACTGGCAAGGTGCTGTGTCTAAGTTTTTATGTGTTGTGTCCAGTTTAGGTTTACAGATGTGAGAGCATTAACTTATGAAATGGTAGGGTAGAGTTGATATCTGAGAAAACACTCATCTTAAGGAATGAAGGATCTCGGTTTAATGAACTTTACTCAGTGATCAGGTAGTAATGAGAGAGAAGGATGTTTATGGGTGACAGAAACATATTGGTATCCACCACTCAGGTTTATCTCCTAGCTTGTCTCCACCAGGCTGATATTTCAGAATTACTAAAAGCAGGCACACCTCTGGTGAATGAGAAATAGTACCTGGTGAAAGATGGATGAGTAGCAGTGTTACATGGCAGAGGGAAAGCAGACTTGCTTTAGGTAACATGTAAGATACAGCTGGACAGTCACTGGAATACTTGGGGATTTTAGTAAAGGGCTGAGTTAATTTAGTAAATATGCTGTTAGAGATGGGCAATTATAGTCAACGTGCCTCCCTCTGAATTTTCAAGTTGGTTAAGTCCGGAGAAACTCAGGTTACATAAGGATATCAAAATAAATACAGAGGCCCTAGAAAACAACTATACTTAAACTTCAAAAAATCAGTTAGTGCTAATTTTGACATTTCTCTTACCCTTCTCATTTAAGCTATATCTTCCTTGAAAAAAGTAAAAGTATGAATAGGAATAAAACACTGTCACCATTAGTTCCACTAGGATAAAGACAACACTATAAAAAAAGATCCCCTGTAAATTTAAAAAGCAGCAAAATATTTCTCCTGTTGTAATAGGCATTTCAGGAAAATGTCTGTCCCTAATGGACATACATACTTCCATAATTCTTGGGCTTCTGAAGAATGAAATAGGTGAAAATTATGATATTTAATTTCTGTTTCTTTAGCAACAATCCCACTTAGTTAGTACTTCCAAAATTCATATTTATATAATAACAACTTAGAAATAAAATCCAATACTTACTTGTCTCCCACAATTCCCAAGTTGATTGTGGGGTAACCATGTTCCTGAATTGTGGCTAAGAGGGTTGAACGATTGCTGTCTCGAATCTTTCCTGGTAAGAGGTCATCTTCAGGATTTAGCAGCTACAAGGCCAAAAAAACCACCACAAATTATTCTCTTAGAATAATGTTGCCTATTGTTAATGGAAAAATAGATCTAGTAAATAGAGTTTAGTATATCTAGTACTTACAACAGTATTTGACACATAGAAATTATATGCTCAAAGGATCTTTGAATAAATATTGAAGGTATAGGAGGATGAAAAAATTTAAATGATGAAATTTAAATGGTGACTAAATGGTGACCAGCTTTGACTACAATTTGACAATAGTGCTCTGTAGATGCTGGCCTTCCCAATTTGAGTCAAACAAAACAACTTTGATTTTAACTCCCAATATTATTTTCCAATTCGTTTGAGGTAGAGACTCTGTGACATGATGTTCTCAAGTCTGAAGAGAATGATCATTTATCTTTTCTTTCAAGTTTTTGATCTCTTTTATGAAGTGGAATCAACAATACCTGAGAAGTTAAACTTATTTGAAGGAGGAGACAGATGTCTTGTCTCTTTATTAGCAAACTTAAATAAGTAATACTTAACTACACATACAATTCCATGACTTTGAATTGAATTACCTTTAGAAATTTAATATCTGCTATTATAAGCCTATAAGAAAATTATAAGACACTTAGTCTATGTTCCAATGAGGCAGTATTGGATAGTTAGAAAGAGGCTAGTATTCAGATAAGGTTCAAATTCAAGTTGCCCAAACATATTATGACTTAATTTTCTCATTTATAATATATAGAGGTGGGTGAAAGTAAGTTTACGGTTATGATACAAATAAATAATATAGTAATTACTAAATAATAATATAAAAATAAACTTTCTTATATACTCACAAGTATAAACCTACTTTTGCCCACCCTTGTATAGTAATAACTACGTTATTATAGTAGTTGTTAGAATTAACTGAGATAATGAATACTCAGTTGATATAGATAAATATACAATAAACAGGACTTTTTTCTTTATTATATATTATATAATATTAAGGGAGCACTCACTTCCCTCCTAATTCGTCTCATATTATTACTCCTAGATGCTCATATAGATGAAATTAGTTTATAATGTGAACATGGATTTAAATTTTTTAGAGTATAAAATACATAAAAGTAGGGGATCCTCACATACACACACAACAGACAACTTTAATTTATATATTAATTTTAAGATGCACTTTGATTTTAGAAATATTACAAAATGAATAAAATAATATATTTGAAGTGAGAAAATCTGGAATATTATCTTAGGAGGTGACGGCAAACGTGCACATTTAGATGCTCACGTTGTTAATATGGCCAACAACCAGGGCTTCAAATCTCAGCTCTCCCAAACAATAACCTCTAGTTTCTTCAGTCTCATTAGTAATATTATGTGGCTGGACCTTTCGCTTTGTGTTGAAAAAGTAGTAGTTTTGCAAATAACTGGCCCTTATAATAGCTGGAGGAAAACTCTGATTGTTTTATTTAGTGTCACTGGGAGCTTTCCTTTCAGATATAGCACTAATTTAATCAGATACCAGGTTACTTTGCAACCCACTTTCATCCTTAGTCACCAGCAGAACTTGGTAAATTGCTATTGAAAAAAAAAAAAAAAAGAAAGAAAAAGAAAGAAGAAAACAGCGTTGAGTGCTAATATAGATTAATTTTCTAATCTAATTAACACGTGGTTATTAAAGCTATTATAATTTCATAAAGGTCATGGCTTGCAGCTCTTTAATTCCATTAATCAGATAACTTGTTTCAGAAAGAAAACTATGGCTACGTAATTTTTTTTCAGAAAAGGATAATGACTACCAACTAAGTAAGATTCCTCTGTTATTAAGGTGTTTTCTTTGCCATTCTTACTCCTCTCTGTAAACAGTTCCAGAAATAACAGAACAATTAGAGATTATTAGAGAATCAGTTATTTGACTGTAAAATTAACACAATGAAATAAGGGAATAGGATTTATAGTGCATTTCAAGTATTTTCAAAGGAAGCATACAGAATTGGATGAAAGATGATAAAACTGACATACTAGAGTAAATTCACAATATTCCCTTTTTAAAGCTGAGTACTATTTTCTGGTATCTTATACTTCTGGTCATCTCTGGATGATGTCAGAAACTTACTACAGTTGAAATACAAAAGAAAAAAAACAAAAACAAAGCAGTTGCAGGGACTGTGCACCAACCAGTAGGAATGACATTTCACAGACAAGTTAAATTGGCACTTAAGAGCAAGGCTTTCGTTAAAGATGGTAAACTAGGGAAATTCTGAGCACACTTTCTCTCAGAGACATAACTACATATAGATAGAACAGTTATCTCTGAGAATAACCTAAAAACTAGCATAATAGATTTTCTACAACTAAGGATTTAAAAAAAAAAAAGCCATATTGAGAGAGATAGAAGGGGCAGAGACTTTTTTTACTCCCTACTCCCCATGCAGTGACTCACAGTGGGAGAGATATCACAACTGCAAAGGTCTCCCCCTGAAGAGGGAGGGTCCGAACTCCAGCCTAGGGATCCTACATCAGGAAGAGGAGCCAATATAACATCTGACTTTGAAAATCAACAGGGCTTAGGTCTGGGAGTCAAAGGATTGTAGAAAAAACAAGGCTGCACTCTTTCCGAGTCCCAGTGCAGAAGTAGCAATTTAAAAGCACCTGGGTCCTACGTGAAGGTAATGCATTGATTAATTTTAGGGCATCTGCTGGAGGGAAAGGGATCTGTCAGAATTTTTCCAGAGTCCGAAGTGCTGGTGGGCACCATGTCTTTCCCCTTCCTCTCTTCTGCTTGGTCGGATGCTGGCAGGTGCCATTTCTGACACTCTCCATTAACCTTGCTAACACTGTTCACCCTACTTTAGTGTTTCCCTGAGGACCCACCAGGCTGGCACCCCTCCAAGCGGTTTCTAACCTGCCACACCTGGTGGGCAGCCTCAGGAGCACCAGCACACAGCAGTGTGTCTGTAACAAGCTGAAGCTGGACTTGCAGCCAGTGCCTCACAGCCAGCCAGGCCAGAGACTAGCCTCACCTGCCAGTGTGTTCATAGCAGCTGTGACCCAACCACAACAGAAGACCATACTAGTCCATACAGGAAACACTTCTAGAGCACCTAGCAAGGGGGGGGGGGTTCCACCAATGGAACCCACAGAACACCTAAATAAGGGTACTTTTTCAAGACCAGCAGACATAGGTGATCTACCTAATACCCAGAAACAAAAAGGCAAAATGAGGAGACAAAATATGTTCCAAATAAAAACAACACAAGACAAATTCCCAGAAAAGAAAATGGAACTAAGCTGTCTACTAGGTAAAGAGATCAAAATAATAGTCCCAAACCTCAGAAGGAAGGTAGGGAAGGGTAGGGGCAAGGGGGTGGGGGGAAAGAGATCAACCAAAGGACTTGTGTGCATGCATATAAGCCTAACCAGTGGACATGGACAATAGGGGAGGGCATGCATGGGGAGGGATTTGGGATGGAAATGGGAGGATGAGGACAATTATGTGATACTATAATCAATAAAGAAAATGTTTACATATTAAAAAAACCAATAACCCTAAAAAACACCAAAGTAATAGTTATAAAGATGCTCATCAAATTCTGTAGGCAAGTGAATAAACTCTGTGAGAACTTCAACAGACATAAATTATAAAAAAAGAACCTATCATAACTGAAGAATATAGCAATTAAAATAAAAAATATACTAGAGGGAATCAACGATCAGAAGATGCAGAAAAATGGATTATCAATGAGGGAGATAGGATAGTGGAAATCACCCAATTGGAAGATACAAAAAGAGAAAATAATTCAAAAGAAAAAGGAGAGCATAAGGGACCACTGGTATAATACCAAGTATATTCACATTTGCATCATAGGGGTCCCAGAAAGGGGAGAGATAGAGAAAGGGATGGAAATCTTTTTTGAAAAAAATAATGGCTGAAAACTTCCCTAATCTCGTGAAGGAAACAGATATCCATATTCAGGAAGCATAGAGAGTCTCAAATAAGATGAATCCAAAGATACCCACACCAGGACACATCATAACTAAAATGTTAAAAGTTAAAGAGAGAATCTTAAAAGTAGCAAAAGAAAAACAACTGGTTACATATATGGTAATGACCATAAGACTATCAGTTTTTCAACAGAAACTTTGCAAGCCATAAAGGAGTGTCATGATGAAAGGGAAAACTCTATAACTAAGAATACTCTACCCAGCAAGGAGAGATCAAGGGTTTCCCAGATAAGCAAAGGCTAAAGGAGTTCATCAATACTAAACTAGCATTACAAGAAATGTTAAAGGGAATTCTTTAAGTGGAAAAGAAAAGGCCAAAACTAGAAAAAAGAAAATACATGAAATAAAATCTCATTATAAAAGGCAAACATATTAGTAAAGTTAGTAGACCACTTATAAAGTTAGAGAGAAAACAACCTAAATGACAACAAGTACTTAACTATCAATAGTTACTTTATATATCCTGTACAATTAAATAATAAGAAAAATATTTTAAAACTCTAAAGTATCTTTTTGTTGTTGATGTTAATATATGGGGAAAGCAGTTTAAAGAAAAAGCACTTTATGTAGAAGGGAAAATAGAATCTTAATAATGATTTCAATTCAAGATCATAGTGCTCTGCATACAAGGCAACACTTACTAGCAGTACTTGAAGACTTGTGAGTTGAAATTGCATATTACTTGAAAGGTTGAATTAAGCTAAGTTTTGGTGCACAACAGTTGTACATGATTTCTTGTTTATGTAGCAAAAGACATTGAAATGTACCATTATTGAAACATACATGTAAAGATAGTTGTGGAAATTGTTTATTATATTTTCATTGTGTCTCATTTATTTAGAGCATAGTTTCATTTTTTAAATTGTTCTACAGGATAAGGCTAAATGAATACTGTAATTAAAATTATATTTTAAATCTTTGTCCTGAAAAATTTTTTTTTAAATAAAAAAGCTATTGCAAATTGTATCATTCCTGATCATATAAAACTTTGTGGGTGATTTTAAATACATTTTATACTTA